ATAGTAGTTCCAACTTGATGCCAAACCAGCATCGTAGCTTCAATGAGCTTTGTCATTCTCTCCGTCTTCATCCTTCTCATCAACGCCATTCTCCGTTACCTCCTTTGGGCTCGCGAGGCTGGGGCTTGCCAGTCCTCCAATACTTCCATTGACGCTATCTGCCCGGCCGTGACCTAGCAGCCCGCTGCGCACACTGGCTCCATCACCCGCAGTGCCACCCATGTTCTGTTTGGCATAGTAGCTGTTTCGTTCACTGGAAAGGATGCCACCCGTTGCCGAGTATATGCTCGTTCTTTCGGCGGCCGACCTTGCCTGATGCAAACCCGGCGTTGCCGGCATCCCTTGCGTTGCGTCGATGTTCGCACTCAACACGGAGAGGGGAAGTGATTCCCGGCTGCCAGAGAAGAGAGATGAGGGTGCCAGTGCTCGTACCGAGGCATCAGTATCCAAAGACCGGCGTCTCCTGCCTCGGCTTGATGATGCCAGCGTCAGAATGGATGCATTATCGGTTAATAGGTTGTTTGCAGTTGCGGAACTGTAGGTCATGGGGTGATGGGCGTTGCTGGCCGACGGCACGAGGTGTGCGGGTATTGCAGATGCGGGTGAAGTCGTTGGGAAGGGTTGGTTGAAGTGTATGACTTGCGAATTTGCATTGTTGTTCGCCGTGTGGTTCGAGCTAGCTCCGTTTGGAGCCAGCGATTGTATGGTGGTGAGCGTCGTGGTAAGAGAGCGAACCGAAGGAGCCGGTGACGAGAAGGTGCTGTCCCCTCTCCTCGACTCTACGCCGTTGGCTGTTCGGCTCGTGCCAGCTACAGACATGTGCTCATGATCTGTGGACACGGTGGGTGCGACAGAGCGTGCACCGCCAGCAGTGGGCGGAGCGTGTCCGTCAAGGGAGGAACGTCGTGATCTTGAGCTTCGTCCGATTGATGTTGCGGATGTTATGCCACTCTGTCCGGTTATTCCGCTTTGCGCAGTGGAGATCGAGTGATGGCTATGTCGGGCGGCGCCATTGCTGATGCGACCAGACTGTGGATACGGGTTGTTGTTTGGCTTTCGTTTCCTGGTGAGCTTCTTGACCCACGTAGAAAATGGCCGCCGCCGACCTTGCCGGTCTGTGTGAGCGTCGGTCATCGCCATAGCAGGAGCAGGAAGAAAGTCTAGCGAGAGAGATGTCGTAGAATCGGTGACGCTGACAAGAAGCGAATATGATAAACGTGGAGTGAGAGAGCTTCGCTAGGGTCTGGGCCGAACTTAATATATTAGAAGCAACGGAAGCGGAAATCTGGGGTCTAAAGGGCTTGGCACGCCATTTAGTGGAAGCAGCTCAGTGAGGGTGACCCCGATTCGTTAGTGCTTTGAGCCTCCCACGTGACGTCACACCTATGCCTATGTGAGTTTCAATCTTCTTGCTCAGTCAGTTCTGTGCAGTCTATCAGATTCTCATTGCCCCTTTGAGCTGCAGGCTCACACCTTGCTGCCGTATCTTGAACCCTGGGTGCACGCAAGTCGCTTTGTCTGCTTACCGCGCCATGTTACGACGATGTCAATCAAACCGTTGCCGGGGGATGTTGTGGCTCAAATCAAGTCCTCCATAAACATCAACAATCTGAACAGTGTGATATTGGGTCTCCTTAGAAATTCGCTCGATGCCGAAGCCACCAAGATCAACATCTCGTTAGATTACAGTCGTGGAAATTGCTCTATTGAGGATGATGGTCTCGGGATCTTGCCGTCGGAGTTTGCTGAGGAAGGCTCTCTTGGCCAGCTGCATTGTACGCCACTACAAGCTGTTACGTGGGTTTATACAAGCTAATAGTCAACAGCTACTTCCAAATTCCCTCCCCGGACAGATTTATACGGCCAAAATGGCGTTTTCTTGGCTTCCCTAGCAGCTTTATCGTTGCTCTCTATCACCTCTCATCACCATGCTCATCATTCCCACAACTCTCTTAGCTTCCATAACTCAAGGCTCTTTGCTCGCCACACCCCGGCCTTGCCAGAGCAAAGGCTTCTAACATTTCCTCATGGAACACGCGTCACAGTCCGTGATCTGTTCGGATCCATGCCTGTCCGCGTCAAGCACCGAGCAATGCAAGCAACCAAAGGGATCTCAGTTAGAGAGTGGGATCAGCTGATGCTTGACGTCCTGGCTTTGCTTCTTGTATCGCCTAGAGCGGTAATTGTCTCGATCCGTGAGACATCATCTCGCCAGAACTTAGCTTTGAAGACCAAGCTTTCATCCAACACTCTAGAGCCCACCAAATCAGTACAAAAGCCGGACCCCTTGTCTCGCGTACCTAGTCTTCTTCAACAAGCCTCTCTCTGCGACATTAGCGAGAAAAAATTATGGGTATCCCTGGGTGCTTCTGGCTCGGGGATCTCTATCGACGGCTGCATTTGTCTAGTTCCCGTTGCTACAAGGCGTAATCAGTTCATCAGCATAGGAATCGAGCCGCTGTCGAATGACGGCCAAAATAATGTGCTCTATGAGGAAATCAACAGGGTTTTCGCGAATTCCGCATTTGGGTGCCTTGAAGAAAATGATTCGGACGGAGATCTGTTAGACAAGACTGAAGGCTATACAAGCAGAGAGCTGAAGGCCAGAAAAGGAGTAGATCGCTGGCCAATATTCTCCTTAACGATCAGTCTCGACAAATTTACAACAAAGGGACAGACGGGGATAACGGAGATCATCGATGGCCGTGACACCGCCTTGAGCGAAATTCTACATCTCCTCAGAGCAATGTTCTATGAATTTCTCAAGAGGCATCTTTTTAGACCCAAGTCTGTTATATTGTCAGCTGATAGTTTGGCCAGCAGTAGTAAATCGAAAAATCTCGATGGCAGCGGTTTGAGGTCCAATACCCCTTTCAGTAGGGCACAGTCGCTGAGAAGGCAGGGATCGCGGATGTCCGATGGCGGACAGGCAAAATCAGGTTCCCTTTCTCCGGCCCCATCGCCACTGCTCCATCAAGTGCAATTGCCTGAACGTCCTTCTGATACAGCAAGCTCTCCATTTGACTCCTGGTCAAGAGTCAAAGCTGGCCGTTTATTACCAACCTTCAAGGCTGATGCTGTCGAAAGCAGGATCATCACATCTAGCACAAAAACTGGAAGTGTTGAGCACTCGGGCATAGAAAGCGAGCTATGTGCGAACAACGGAAAGCGTACGAGTCCGGAAAGACCTTCTCTATTTGATTCGGCTGGGAGAGTCACACGCAAACCTTTCGAGGATGTGGATGTTGCTAATCTAGTCGGTGACAAGAACAACAACAATCCGCCCACTATCTCATTCACAAGGCCAGTAGAAGAGGAAACAATCACCTGGTGCAATCCCTTGACGAAGAAGCCTTCGATCGTGAACACGAGAACTGGTTTCGTGATACAAGCCGAAAGGGTAGATCCAGGGCCATCCCCGGAACCCGCTCCACAGGATAGGCTCGTATTCCCGGGAAACGTATCCAACCCACCTAAAAGCACTCACTTCACGAAGAACGATGCTTCTTGGATTGACGATATACTACGAAAATGGAAGAATCCCGTGTTTGAGCTGACAGAGGCGCCAATCCCTCGACTTCCCAGTGCCTTAGATACGTTGGGGTTTGGATCGGAACGAAGTAGGCATGATTGTCACGAGCATAGTCATCTCAGTCTCCATACCAGCCATGAGATATCAGCAATGGATACTTCAGGGCGTCTTCATAAGGACGATTTGCGCAGAGCTCAACTTCTAGCGCAGGTTGACAAGAAGTTCTTACTGGCGAAGGTTCAGTCTCAGATTATGGAAAGGAAAGAATCGGTGACGCATGATGGCATTAATGCCCGCGGGACACGCCCATTTCTTATCTTAATCGATCAGCATGCGGCCGACGAAAGGTGTCGAGTTGAGACACTAATGAGGGATTACTTTGACTTTTCCGACTTTTCCGACTCGAAAACTAGGGGTTCCGAATGGAGCTCAAAGACGGAAGTTTTAGAAAAGCCTTTACGATTCGAGTTGTCTAGTCGAGAGCGGGAGCTGCTCGAGCGGTACCGTTCCTATTTCAGCTATTGGGGCATCGTCTATGAGCTTTCAGTCAATAAGTTTCGTACAACTGAAGTCTCTATTACGAGATTACCACCAAGCATTTTAGAACGCTGCAGATCTGAGCCGAGGTTGGTAATCGAGCTCTTACGAAAAGAGGTTTGGAAGATGAATGATGAACCTTCCACCTTCCGCACCGACCCTACTACGAAGATAGCATGGCATCTTAAGAGCGATGCAGAGGTGCAATGTGATGATCGCTCATGGGTGTCCAGATTCCACGGATGTCCTTCGGGGATTTTGGACTTGATCAACTCCAGAGCCTGCAGGAGTGAGTTGTCCTCCGAATGATGCTTGATCTGTTGCTGACATTTCACCAGGCGCAATCATGTTTAACGATGTTCTTTCTGTAGAAGAGTGTACCAACCTTTTGAGGAGATTGGCTAGTACTGCGTTTCCGTTCCAATGCGCACATGGGCGGCCATCAATGATCCCCCTCTTAGATCTAGGCCATGATGTCGACGCTACGGATACGCCATTTGATGAGTCGTTCACTGGCGATTCATTCGCGTCGAGATTCAAAGAGTGGAAAAGTGCGATGAAATAGTATAGAAAAAATCACGAGGCGCAACGGCCTCCTATTTTTGCGTCTCTCATTTTTAGAAACACCGAGATACCCTATAATCACGAGTTTACGATTGAATTTCTACACGCCTCGTTCCCAGAGTCCATGCATACTAGGTAAGTTGGTGACATGTGCCTTGCAGGCCCCACCAGCCCCCGAATTAGTGGCGACCAGGGTCAAGCCACAGCGGCGTGAGCTCCAACAGCACTTGGAGCTTGCGGAAGCACCATTGCTTCGTCATCGCATGCAAAGTACTCCAGGCTCCCAACATTGAGTCTTGCTCAATCTTCACATCGTGATATGTGCCTCAACAATCTATCGGACGTCTGAGACTCACAGAAAACGACCATGGCTATCTCTGTATGTATCCGTGCATGGCAATGCTTCTCGTGCTAACCCCGCTCGCGTACAGTGGAAGTCCTTCGACTTCTTCGAAGTCAGCCAGGTCAGACTCGCCGATGACGACACGCGCACCTTCTTCGAGGGCAACGACATATCGAGTGTCTGCTCCGGATCCGATAGCCTGTTTCTCGGGAGCTACGATGGCTACGTACGAATAATCGGGCCCAGCTGGAAGATCGTCCGAAGCTTCCAAGCGCATGATGCTGGCAGCATTACACACATGCGTCAAGTGGAAGGCACGAGCATGCTAGTCACGATCGCTGTAAGCGATTCAGGTCATATGTGTTGTTGGGACAAATGTTGATGAGAAACAGGAAGATCTTGGGAGCGAGCCCGTGCTCAAGGTATGGGCACTCGACAAGCTTAGCAAGAAGACAGGCATGCCAACGTGCCTGAGCACTTTAAGTGTCAACAACGGCAGGAAACAGTTTCCGGTTGGTCAATGTGTCAGAATTGACCAAAGGATGAGAACGCTAATTCTATAATAGATATCGGCCTTCACAGCAACAGAAGATCTTTCCCAACTCGCCGTAGGATTCGCGAATGGAGCAGTCACAGTTATACGAGGAGACCTCATCCACGACCGAGGTGCGAAACAGAGGATAGTCTACGAATCTGAAGAGCCGATTACAGGCGTCGAACTGCGGGTACATGAAAGCTTGACGACTCTCTTTGTCTCGACCACATCTCGAATATTGAAATTGATTGTCTTAGGAAGGGGTCAAGGCCAGCCACCGCGAACGGTCGAGGACCAAGGCTGTGCGGTAGGATGCATGACTGTGGACAAGAAGACAGGCGATATTGTCGTGGCGAGAGAAGACGCGATATATTATTACACTCTTGAGGGGAGAGGCCCGCCCCGCGCGTATGAAGCACCAAAGAGCCTGATATCAGTATATGGTGACTACGTCGCTCTTGTATCGCCTCCTGCTTCATCGCCCGCAGGCGGAGAGCCGGACAACATTCGCCGGCGTTTCGGTGCTGCGACGGCCGATGTGATTTTCAACGCCTCGACTTTTGCACTCCTAGAGACCGATCTCAGAGTGATTGCCCACACAGAGTCTCTGATATCGCAGGTCAGAGCTATCGTTCAGATTTGGGGAGACCTCTATACACTTCTTCAGGATGGCAAGGTTTACAAATATCACGAGAAGACACTTCAGCAGAGGCTTGAAATGCTTTATCAACGGAACCTCTACCAATTTGCTATTGCCCTAGCTCAAAAAGCCGGGATGGATGCCCAGCAACAGAACGTCATTTTTCGAAAGTATGGCGACCACTTATATCAGAAGGGAGATTACGACCAAGCGATGACACAGTATATCAAAGCAATTGACAGCACGGAACCATCGCAAGTCATACGAAAGGTACGTCCAGACACTTGAGGACATGCTGAGACCAGGCTAATTGTTAAAGTTTCTTGATACGCAAAGGATACACAACCTTATCGAGTATCTGGAGGAGTTGCATGAGCACCACCAGGCAACGGCTGATCACACCACTCTACTCCTGAACTGCTACGCTAAACTAAAGGATATCGATAAACTGGAAAAGTTCATTAAGTCGCCTGGAGATCTGAAGTTTGACCTTGACACGGCGATCTCTATGTGCCGTCAAGGTGGCTACTTCGAGCAGGCCGCTTACCTTGCGACAAAGCATGGCGAGAATGACCTCGTAGTAGACATCCTGATTGAGGACTCCAAGAATTACGATGAGGCCCTCAATTTCATCTGGCGTCTGGATCCTGAAATAGTAAGTAGCCCATGTATTTCAAATGGACCAACAACACTAACTTGTCAAAGGCCTACCCATGTCTCATGAAGTATGCTCGAGTTCTCATCGAGCATTGTCCCAGAGACGCAACACAAGTGTTCATCGACTATTACACAGGCAAATATCGACCAAAGATTCACCGTGCCGTTGTTATTGATGAAATCGCAACCCCCTCTGGCGGCGGATTCACAGCAGGCGCGGCGAGCGCTGTCCAGAATCTTACCAATCTGCTACCTTTACCATATATGAATACATCTGCGGTCGCCTCACCGGGTACACAAGGCAACGTAAAGCCCACGATAGGGGAAGCTGATCTCGTTGTTGATGCAGAGGATGCCCCTGCTCCAAAGTACACACCTCCACCTCCACGGACAGCATTCTCCTCTTTCATTGACCATCCCGACGAGTTTATTATATTCTTGGAGGCGTGTCTGAAAGAGGAGGACTTGTCCGATTCGGACAAGACGGACTTGTACACAACACTCTTCGAGATGTACCTGCACAAATCAACGGAGAAGAAGAATGACCAACACCGAGAGGATTGGGAGCAGAAGGCGAAGAAACTGATCGAGGGCCGTAACATTCCAATCGAGAACTCCAATGTTCTCCTACTCTCCCACCTGTCGGACTTTCGAGACGGAACGACACTGGTCAAGGAGCAATCTGGGCTGCTTTTCGACATCTTCCGCTCATACACATCTGCGAAAGACACTCGTGGTGCAATCAAGGCCCTGCGCAAATACGGCCCTGAAGAGCCACAATTATACCCAGCAGCTCTGGCATATCTTACATCTGACCCCCAAGTGCTAGACGACGCCGGGCTCGATGAGCTCGCCAATGTGCTGGCCAGGATAGACAAGGATGGCCTGATGGCGCCGTTGCAAGTCGTCCAGATGCTTAGCAAGAACGCGGTAGCCACAATGGGCATGATCAAGCCGTACCTCCACGAGACTATTGAGCGCGAGAGACGAGACATCGCGTCAAACAGGCGGCGAGTGACCGGGTTCCGCACCGAAACAGAACAGCGACGCGTCGAGATTACGGACCTCGGATCGAAGCCCGCTGTGTTCCAAGCCACAAGGTGTTCTGATTGTGGCCAGACGTTGGACCTGCCAACCGTGCACTTCTTGTGCAAGCACAGTTTTCACCAACGATGTCTGCGCGGCGGAAATGGCGTGGATGGCGAGTGCCCACAGTGTGCACAGGCTAATGCTACCATCAGGGCGATCAAGCGAGCACAAGAAGAGAATGCAGACCGTCACGAGTTATTCAAGGATGAGCTAGAGAGGAGTGAAGACAGGTTTGGCACCGTCGCTGACTGGTTTGGTAGAGGAGTCATGGGAGTAACGAATGTGGAATGAGTTGTATGATTAAGGAGTTGGGGTATCATATTTGTTCAAGGATGCATATAAAGCGTAGATACATCACCTTGCCGCCAACAGGCAAGGATTGCTTTCTGAATTCAAAGCTCTTCTGAGTCGTTTCCAAAGAGCCCATTCAGCCACGTGCCCACAGGTTCGGCCATTTGTGCCTTGGACGTCTTGAGAAGGTCCCTCCAATCTGTGATCCGATGAAGCAGCTGACCATTCAGTGCATTGCTATCATGTAGACCTGACAGCGATACTTCTTGTATCTCTCCATGGCGAGCAGTAATTGTAGCTTGAAACTTTGGTACTGTTAACATTGTTATCTAGCGTAGAGAGAGGGTATACTTGCATTTGATGGCAGACCAGATGGTAGACTCGGCCGTTCTCGAGGATCTGCTTCTGAAGGGTGCGTGCTGAATGTGAATTGTGGTGTCTGAGTGAAGAGCCATTCAATGGACTTGCTGGGTTAGCGTTATCGGGTCTAGAATCAGAACGACAACGCATACCTTCAGCTCGTTGTACCCCTTTGATACCAGGGCATCGTCTAACGCCGCATCTCCGACGATGGTGGCCACGTCAAATTCCCCGTACATGCCTCGGAACTCCTGCACTACGGCGTCCTCGAACTCCTCGTTGCCGACGTTGACGTTACGGATCTTGGAGCGGACACTCTCCACCCCACGAGCCTTAATGTAAGGTTCCGCCGGTGACTTCAGTAGCCGGCCGATGCTCGCCAGATTTGGCGATGACAAAAGACACGTACCGTGATGCAATGAGCGTAGGCGCGTGAGCTTGTACGCGGAACCAGAGATTTTGAAGGTCTGCTGCGCAGCGCTCCGTTCAGGCTCTGAGACATCGACCACAATGTCGTGCCGGTCGTTAACCCGCGCATTGCCGACGCCAAGACTTCGCAATGCTCGGACGACCATTTCAGCATGCTTATTGCGGTCAAATTCGGCCGGTGGGCAGATGACGCTGTAGTTGACATTCCCAAGGTCGTGAAAGACGGCGCCGCCACCGGAGCGTCGCCGCACCAGGGAGACCTCCTGCGGTGTACTCTGGTGCTGCACACTGCTATTTGACGGACCGGCAAGGCCGCGACGAACCAAGCCGAGGTTCACTTCCAGCCAAGGATTCTGGTTACGCCCTATGACTATACATGGTCTGTTGGTGTAGAGAAGGAGGATTGTAGATTCTGGGTGTGACTTTTGTAGTAGAAAATGCTCAATTGAAAGATTCAGAAAGGGGTCATTGGTCTTCGAGAGGTACACCTGGACACGATTTGCTGGGTGGGAGGCTGCATCGGTAAAGCGACGACATTGGGATATATTGGTCTTTAAGACTCTTGATCTTCGTATGACCGGGCTCATTAGAGCCATGAAGGGGACGTTCGAGATTGTGAGGCTTCGCTGAAGCGCATCTGCCTCGATCTCAAGAATTTTGATATCGAAGTGTTTCCAGCGGCATGGCCCATGCCCCCGACGGACGCTAAGCCTTATCCAGCTGAGTCATCAACAACGCTCAACCACTAACACTAGACCAATTTGCAAACCCATGAGCAATCTGTAGGAGGGAGTAGACTACTGTAAAATGGGTTTTGAATAATAATGTATGATAAGTGACTTGGGTATCAGAATTAGTCAGGTTCCAAATCGTGTAAATGTACTGCAAATCATCACACTATCCTTGTTTGTGGGCACAGCAAGTGCGGACCCAGGCAAAGACCGAGGCGGATACAGTCTATTTCCGCTACAGAGACAGAAGGGGAGGTATTAGTCAAGATATATGGGTGCGTTGAATTTCTATAAGTAGTGCCCGGACGAACCGAAAAGGTTTTTGAATTTCATGACTCTTATTGTGGGATATTATCATAAGATTCAGACGTTACTCATATTGATCTTTCTTTAAATTTACCATTACTTGTATAAGTCCTCTCATAATGAGTAGCTATCACAAGGTTGCTGTCCTAGGCGTAAGTTGAATCATCACTGTGTATCTCTTCCTTGAGATCTACTTGGCCAGTTAATAATTTACCTGCCAACAGAAAGGCTTTCTCGGTTCTGTAATCCTCGAGGAGCTTGTCAACTCAGGATTTGAGACAATTATCATCACTCGCAATCGGAATTCAATCCGGGGTACCCCACCCGGAGTAGCAGTCATTGAAGTTGACTATTCCAGTCTCGGGAGTCTCGCCGATGCACTCAAAGAGCAAGATGCTGTCATCTCAACTGTAAATGCATCGGCAATTTCCAATCAAATGGTGGTTATCGACGCTTGTATTCAAGCTGGAGTCAAACGCTATATTCCCTGTAACTGGAGCTCGATGTCCGCCGATCCCAAGGCGGTTGAGCTCGCTGCATACGGTCCGATGATACAGACACAGGAGTATCTCGAGCAGAAGGCCAGAGCAGGGGAGATCACATTCACCTCATTCTGCAACGGAGCTTTCTTTGACATGATCTTTACCGCTCCATTCGTCATTAATTGGGAGAATCACTCCGTCCGGCTTTATGACAAAGGGGTCCACCCTTTCAGCACAACTAGATTGACTACTATTAGTAAAGCAGTTGCTGGAGCTTTGAACACACCAGAAGTCACAAAAAACAAGGTCCTTTTCATCCACGATATTATAATCACTCAGGCAAAGCTATTGAGCCTTGTAAAGAAACACTCCCCACCCGGATTGCAATGGACAGAAGTGGCCGTGGATGCTGAAGCTGAGCTCAGAAATGCTAGCAAAAGTATTCAAGAAAGAGGTGTTGACTGGGAGAACACCGTAGCGCAGCTCACAGCGGGCCTTTTTGGCGGCAAATATGATGCAGCATATCAGTCAGTTGATAATGAGCTATTAGGATTGGGATATTTTGCAGAGGATGAACTCGAGGCGAAGGTGATTGAAAAGCTGAGAACTCGCGAGGAATGAGACTTGATACTATGCGAATTTGCGATGTCACTCTATTTTTCCTTGTTCGAGTCGCGCGTTGTTGTTGGTCAAGCTCCAGAGGGCATGTTTTCTAGCAGCCAGGACTGCGGATGTAATTTACATCCGCCGCCTAAGTACGAAAATGGCCCGCAGGATCACTTACAACATCACACCAATCATTGTGCTGAGACTGTGAGACCAGCTACCCGCATATGTACTAGCGGATGACCAATACAGGACCACGTCTCTTAATCCAAGACCACTACAATGCCATTTCTCAAAGACTCACAATATCGATGTATGATCCTCAAACCTTTTCTCGTGATACTGTTATAACATGCTCATATCATTCGATCATTTCGGAGTGTGATAGGGAGGCAATCGAGAATTATGTCTTCAAGTCGTGGAGATGGTTCAAGGCGTATTTCTAACGTGAGTGAATGACATATCTCCTTAAGGGATGGCAGCAATTTTCTGTGTGAAAGATTCTAACAATCATAGGCGTGTCTTCCATGTCAGAAGCGGAAGTCAAAATGCGACGGCGGTCATCCTATCTGCTCAGCATGTGAAAGGCGCGGTTTCATCTGTGAATATACAGTCCGCAAAACACGGGGACCTGGGAAAAGGTGTATTGTATATTTTCCTGCGAGTTTGAAACGGTCCTAATAACCCTCCAGTAAAGAGTACATACAAATGCTGGAGGAGAGAGTTCAGAAGTTGCAGTCATCCTTCGGGCCTAGTCAGGCGTCTCAAGGGTACCAAAATCAACCGGATACTAAGGGTAAGGTTCCTGAAATTCTAACCCGATTGCATCTGCCATCGCTAATCGAGCATATTATTGATTGGTTCAGCGGCCAATATAGAGTCTTCGTCATCTGCCGCTGCTCAAAATGATATATCAACATCGATTCTTAAGCTAACAAACCCCGAAATTGAAGCACTGGAGACCGAAGCTCGCAGTTCTACCCAGAATGTTGCATTGCTGATGAAAGGGTTGAGCTTCCTTTCCAAAGTCGATGTGCTTTATGAAAATGTTCAGAAAGTCATGAGCAGGATCAACCTCGGCGGATATCCCAGCACAGTCTTCACGCCTCTGCTTCCACAAACTGACGATCCAGGGCTGGTCGTGCACATCATCGAAGACATTAACACGATATATCCGTCAATGACTCAAGAAACACTTGCTGAGATTTTCAATCAACAATACGCTAGTGGGGGTGAAAACTCCATACAGCACCCGGGACGTTGGGTTCTGTTGAATTCCTATATGGCAATGCTACTGCAATGGAAGGTAGCGAATTCTCATCGACAAGACTTTGCGACTCTTGAATGGGCCTTTCTCAAAAATGCGTATTGTGTTTTCTCTGATGTCATCATTCGAGGCAAGGATCTGCTGAGTTGCCAAGGGCTTGTATTTTTAATGATGGCAATGCAAGGTAATGCTGATGTGTGGACTTCTTATCATGTGCTGTCTGCAGCAGCCCGCTTAGCTCAATTCCTTGGTTTGAATCGCAGATCTGTAGGGAAAGCCATTCCAACCGTCGAAGATGAGCAGAGCTTCCACACATTCTGGTTGATTTACATACTTGATGTAAGCGAGGCTTTGAAGTCTGGACTTTCACCCTGTATCCCTCTCAGCGAAGTCTGTTCCGAGCTACCGGATGAAACTCCGACAGATGGGATCGGTTGCGTTTCTGTCACAGGAATGGACAGACCATTAAACGTATTCAGTTGCAGAGCAAAACTTGCTGTCATTCAGGCAAAGATCCACCAAGAACTCTTTTCCGAGCTCGCACTCCAACAGAGTGCGGCGGACCGCTTCGTGGCAGCTGAAACTCTTCATAATGACCTGGAGGCGTGGAAAAATAGTCTTGCTTTCGAGATTCGCCCATTCTCCGAGGACACTGCACCTGATGATTTGGAGCCACAAATCATCCTGCTGCATTTCACATACTACAGCTGCATATGGAAAGTTGTGGCTGCCAAAAAACGCCTTCACTCTGGCCATTCATCGACTAACGAAGACTCGCAAAACTCTCAGTCTGACAATGGCGCCCGGGTTCCGATGGCCTGCATTGATGCAGCTCGCGGAACAATCCGCTTACTTCGTTACATGGATGCCGAATCTTTCACATTTCTATGGTGAGGAAGTCATGATCTGCTATACGACAGTCCCACTAATCACGACTATAGGCGTATTATTTGCTACCCCATCGCTGCCACTATCACGATTGTTGCGCATGTGCTGAATGATCCATGCAGCGTTACAGCAAGATCCGATGCTTGCCTAATTCAGGAATTTGTAGGTCTTCTACAGAAATATCACAAAGTTGAACTTTGCGATGTTGGAAGAATGTTGAATGGATGTGTAAGACTCCGAGATGTTGCACTTTCTGCCGTGGCTGCAGAAGGTATATACTCCGAGTCTCCTGGAATAAGCAGTTCAAAGAGTGGACGATACGTATCACAAGAGCAATTGAAGGTAAGGAATTCCTTCAAATACTTAATGCGCGAAATAGAGTTAACGTTTGGATCTAGCATGTAAAGACACAATTAGATTCCCATCATGATCATTTGTTGCTTGCACAGGGACTAGTTGGAAACATTCCAGCTTGCACGAAAGAAGTAAGAAGTGTATTTGCTGATGTTCTCGGGGATTTGAAAGAGCCAGGAGATGGATACGGTATCTTTGTTCCAGATCATCTGAAGCCTGAAAATCATAACTTTCGCTTCACTTGAGCTCTAACGCAGGGACTCGGCGTTTTTTTGTCTTTGTGGCGCACTCACCGGAGACAATTGCAGTGTCTTTTTTTGGGACAGTTTGACATCTTCTTGCACTTGTAAAAGCTGTCTCGATGGATTCTATCAGACGAAGAACACATAATTGAGAGTAATATCACACGTAGCTTGTTATGTGCTGTCCTAGCATCTAGTTGTCTCACGGGCTCTCAGAATTGAAACTCATCCGACCACCGGTCTGTCTGATGCCTTCATGACAATAAAAGATCACAGTGAAGTGAGTCACACATATGTGTCGGGGCTGAATTTGCCCAACTACCTAGTATATATATGCCTGAAAAAGCCAACTTTAAGTCGCTCAGCATTGCCAACCCCTTTCGGTGAAGGACTTAATCATTGGACTTTAACTTGAAATTTACTCGACAACATGAGAAGCTTCAGACTATTCGGTATTTTGGGATTTGGCGTCATGACCTCCTTTCCCACCTGCATTGCTATTGGTACTCCGCTCAAAAATTTTCAATTGACGTGCCCCGATTTCTGGTATGAGAACAACGGACTTCTAGGCAAATGCAAGGGCAAGAATGGAATGATTAGCAGCTCTATTGCATCTATCAACTTGGACTACTGTGTTGAATGGAATGGTACATATCTCGAACCGAAACATGAGTGAGTGGCAGTTATTTCTAGGTCACTCGATTAAAGTCATTACTAACACACCCCAAGTCATAACGATAAACTGTCTGATGGTTGCAAAGACTGCCTTCTATCATCTACCATTCTGGCATGCAAGTGTGGCGACCACAAAGACCAAAATAAATTTATAGATATAAGTGAGTTGATCGAGACACTGTCGGTTTGGATACTAATAGTGTCCTAGGTAGATTTGTTGGGAACGTCGATGGACACCTCTGCTGCGATCCTGGACACGTTTGTGGCATCACGATCTCTTCTGGCCAAGTCCAGGAATAGGAGAATTAGTAAAATGTTGTGCATGTTCCCGCTCTATCCCACATTCCGTTATGACTCCCCGGAAAATCATGATGGCGGACTGGATGTTCCGAGAGGCTGGTAGTAAAACACTTCAGGCTGTATTGAGCGCTCCGCACCACGATGCAAATTAATTTATGATCAATCAACCCTAGTCACATTAGATAACCACGAAATAGCTTACTATGCGTGCAATAAAGACTTGGCATTGGCACGTAATAGCAACCTGGTTAGGGTCACCAACATATGTAAAATGTTTCCAAACAAATGTGAAAGCCTGAACTGTCAGTGACATGATATATCAAGTGATGCAATTATAAACGTCCTAGGAGGCTACTGCTTGGAGTTTCGTGTCAATGACGACCTACCGATTCCGTTACACGGTCCTCCTCCTCTCGACTGTACTCGTCGTTCTTTGCTTCGTATCGCTTTATAATGAAGCTGTATCGGTCCATGCAGCTTCCGTGCTACAATGGGGCTTAGAAAGGGGACAAAAGAACACTCTACCACCTCTTCGAGATGATCAGTCCAAGAAAAAGCGTCCACTTTCACCTCCCGAGCGACACAGGGGCAAAAGAAAAGGGAAGAAGTCAAGAACAAAAGCCCAAGGCAAACAAAAGCAAAGCACGAAGGAGGAACTGCCATTGGAGAACGAGGGGCCAGAAGACAGGAGGAAGCAGCCTTCAGAAGACCCTCTATACCAGGAGTTCTTCTCGTGGCGGGGCAAGAACTACAAACCCAGACCGAAGCCTCCGTCTAAGCCGCCACGAGATCCTACACCCCCAATACCAGATCCATTTCCGTTACTGTCTCAATCAAGCAAGAAGGCGGAAAGTCTGCGGCAGCAACTGAAACCACCAGCCATAAACGAGCCTCCGAGTTCGCATGTGTCCGAGAATACTCCTCTTTTCATCGGCTTTACGAGAAACTGGCCACAATTACTACAATGCGTTGCGAGCTACATCGCGGCTGGATGGCCGCCTGAAGACATTCATATAGTGGAGAATACTGGGGTCATGTACGCAAACAGGGATGGAAAACTTACATTACAGAACCCGTTTTACCTGAACCACACACAACTCTCAATGCTAGGTGTCAATGTCATTGTAGTAAGTCCTTCCCCGTCCCTGGGATGGCGCTTTACTAACTAGCCATAGACACCAACACTTATGACATTCGCACAGCTTCAGAACTTCTTCCTCTGGACGGCATTGCAGAATGACTGGACGGACTTCTTCTGGTCACACCAAGATGTGCTCGTCTTCTCATATGAGGACGAGACACTGCCGGTAGCGGACTCCACAGAGCCAATCCCGTACTCACTCTACTCCCGCGCTGTGGGCACCCTACGCTACTTGCAACAGCCCGACGTTCAGCCATGGGCGAACCATTTCTTTGCGTACGATCATCTGACGCTGGTCCATCGGGACGCCATCCTCGCCGTGGGCGGCTGGGACACGCACATCCCCTTCTACGCGACGGACTGCGACATGTACGACCGCCTTTTGTGGGCGGGATACTGGCAGGGCGAGACAGCCATAGGCGTCATCCTCGATGTGTCGACTGTTCTCAAGGACATCGCTGCGCTGTTCCGCTTGCCTGGTGTGCATGCAACATTTGTGGGTGATCCCGGGCCAGGCAAGCTTGGCGAGGGTGAGGAGACGGGCGAGGATCAGCGCCAGTTGGAAAAGATGCTCAAGCAGAAAGAAAAGGCGCAGAAGAAGCTTGTGGAGAAGCAGGGCGAGACGTGGGAGCACCTCGTGGAAGTAGGAAAACGCATGCGAGATATAAAGTACATTGATGGTGGAGGCTGGAGGAACAATTGGCAGCAGAAGCAGGCTGGCGGGAAGGGTGAGCCCTTTTATCGAGATCCAGACGGATTCCAGGCAGGTATCCAGATGTTCATCGAGACTGGGCGCAGGGTCTTTGCAGAGAAATGGGGCCATAGGGGCTGTGATATTGTCCAGATGGGGATCAAAGCCGAGGATGCTTGGAGGCTTGAGAATGATTGGGATCCCGAGACTGAGGGAAGTGGCAGTGAGGGTGATGATTGGTAAGGTGGCGGAACTTAAGCACACAATGACAACACAATATACGAAAATCGCCGCGGTTTAGGGTTTGAATTACATGGTCTATTGAAGAAATAAAATCCCGAAAGAGTGGCAGTAATAGAGGGTATCATCAGCCTCGTCGTATCAGAATGCCTATCTGAAGTCTGAGTAGTGAAGAGGTTCCAAGAGTTGGTGCAAGACCAACAGCCGCTAGAGCTATCTTTGCCACCCCGCATAGATCCAAGGTTGTGCTTAGGTACGCCTCCCAGCCGCCATCAGTTCAGCTCACGAGAACAGCTTCAACAATCAAAGACACATGACTGCTCATCCCATGTAGGACATGGCAAGGCCGAAGTCCGGCTCCAGGAAGCGCCTGGACCCGCAGGAGAAGAACCTGCTCGAGCATCTCATCAGCATGCCGAACCTCAGCAACACGGAGATCGGGCGAATCCTCCGGGTGGACGAGGGCACCGTCCGCCACCGCAGGCGACAGTTCCGAGAGACCGGCACCCTGAGTCCGAAGCACACCACAAAGAACGCCGAAAAGCTCCGGCCGTGGCACCTCGAAGTAGGCCTTGTCCAATGATCGACTGAAGTGTCATACATAGGCATGCTAAACTGATGTTTTGTACAGAAAGTTCTCGAGCTGCTGGAGCGCAATGACCAGCTGCTCATCAAGGACATCCGCGAGTTCCTGCACATAGAGTATCATCTGGAGGTGAGCACCTCGACCATAAGCAGGCAGCTCAAGCGCGCGCAGAAACCGCGAAACCAGAGATCTGGCTACAAGGGAAACCAAAAACAGGCAGCAACATCTGCCACCTCACAAATGTCTTCGTTAGCTGAAACACCACAGTCTGCATGATGATGGATGGGGTTTGTTGTCCTTATAATATGCATTGAGCAACGGCGTTAATTGTTGTAGCATGGCTGGCTTTTGGGAGTGTCCATCTCATTTAGAGTCTGTATTTCAACGACAAGAAAGAATTTGGCTCCTTTGAGTCTACCGTCTCTGTATGACAATATCCGCGAGAGAGTGTCCTACACAAAGTCCTCCTATGCGCGCGCGGCAATGCTTCGCAACGCTTGCTGTACGCAGCTTACTCCAACAAATATACCACACATACACACACGTATCCAGAACACCTCTGCGTCCCACTGGTATAGAAGAAAACAGAAGAAAAATGAACAAAAGGATGTGGAAAAATACATCGGAATATCCTAAAGTCGGATACAAACCCCAATCCTCACTGTACTCCCTGTAGAGGAGCATTATGTACTTTCGAAAAAATCGACCTCCGGCCTCTGCCTACTAATTACAACTCTCTTTCCCTGATGTTATTCCTCGTCTAGGCTGCCCATCAGCCCGCTGCCCTTGCTAGCCTTCTTGCCGAGCTTGAGCATGCTGAGACGCTTGCGCACGCTGCCTATTGACTTGACGCCGGACAGATCGCCGCCCGACTGGTGCTTCTCTGTTATGGCGGTGTCCATGCTCTCGCGAGGCATTGACTCCGTTGTCCACTCTGGGGCCGAGGTGTCCGTGCCGTTGGTTCCACTCCTCGGGAGACGCTGGTCGTCGCTCGAGTGTGCGCGGAAGAAACTCCTTCTATTCGGGTTGTCCTTGCTTAGACTTCGACTGCCGCTGCTTGCCGTTTCTGCGTCTCCATTCAGCTGCTGGGATTGATCGCCGTTTGTCTGTGTTTGTCCCGGCTGCGCGTCCTTCTTTCTGCCACCAAGAAAGCTAAGCCTTGCTCCCCGACCTTGCCGTAACGATACTGGCTGGACAGTTGAGACTTCCGCACTCATGTTGTTAGCATTCGATGAGTTGCTCTTGTGGTGCTGAGGCGTTGTCGGCGCCAGTGATGGCGGAGACCGTGGCCAGCTGGGGGATGGTGTTGGCATGTTCTCGCGGACCGGCTGCGGAGGTGCGAATGCCGCTATCTCTGGAGCAAATGTTACCTCGAAGTCTAGATTCATGTCAGTCTTGATTATTGAATTTTCGGACCGAGTAACCTACACTTCTGCAGATCCTCATGATGCTTCAGAAGGATCTGATTCGAACTCTTCGCAAAGGTAGCTAAACACCTCTTGATCATGATAGCATGATCAATCAGCGCCATCTTAATGGCATTCTCCTGCGCATCCAGCTCAGGGGGCTCGTCATCCTCCTCCTTAGTGATGGATGCCGAGCTCTGGCTGGGTTGCAGTCCGGGGATCAATTGGCGATAGCAAACAACACTGCTCTCCGAGTTCGGGTTGACAGAGATACTGACAGCATCGACAAGCAATTGAGCGACTTCGTCACTCGAGTCACCGTCGATGATCTTCTTCTCAACGGCCGTCATCTCCTGAGTCTTGCGTACGATGCGTTCCAGCGCGGTCTCCTTGGCACTCAGACGGACTTCATGCACATTGACAATCTCGCTACGGCGCAGGATAGTCGGGAACGGCTCCGCAGTCGTATATACAATCTTCTCAGCAAAGTGCTCGGTGACCGGGCCAGTCGTGACACGCTTGCTTGACACAGAGAAGGCTTGTGGGTTGGCTGAGATGAGGTAATCCCTAACCACTTGCTGAACCCTGGCACGCTGGAAGACATGGTGTCGGAGATCACGATGCGCGCTCAGAGCCGAGATGACGAGGAATTGACCCTCAACATCGTCAATGTTATCACTGGTCACGATCTGTGCAGATGGATATTGCTCCTGCATGCGATCCGTAAAGGCAGAAGCGCGCTCCGTTGGAGAACCTTCGTAGACAAACTCTTTGTCGCGGATACTGGCCGGGAAGCCCAGGCCTTTGAAAACGACCTTGAAGTACTTCGGTACGAGCTTTTCGCTCTTAGCAATAGTCTCGTATATGGTAGCAACGGCACGCTGGGTTCTGGCCAGCTTGGCAAAATCGAAGATGTTGGTCTCATACTGAGACTCTAGCTCTTTGTATGCGGCCAGAGCGCTGGTCCACGCTTCGCCATCCTCGAAGTGCTTGATCATGTCGAAGTATATCCTCTCTTTACGCTCAAATTGCGATTGTGCTGGGTACTCAGGATCGGCGAGGGCCGGCAACGTCCTGACAGGATCCCACTCGTAGAGGTCAGCATGGAGCCGCAAGGCCAGACCTGCTTCGGCATGGTTGCGAGCTTCTGCCTGAAGCAATGCAAGTTGGTGGACGTAGCGAACGAAGATCTCTTCCTTCTGCATATCCCGGAGGAACTCCATAAGCCTGAGTCGGTTGATGAGATGTGATGCTTCGCCAGAGCCATCTCCACTGTGAACTGCGACAAGGAGGTCCAGAAATTCATCAACGGTGCCCATAAGTTCGCGAAGAGCTTGATAGAGTGGCTCGTCAGTGATTTGCGACAGAGGCTCAAATCTCTCCAGGAGCTCGCTGACAAACAGCTTTTGTAGTATACTCTCAGTCAAGGGCTTTGACTTGAAATATAGGTCAAGGCAGTCGATGACTTCGGTCTGGATGACTGACAGATCCTCACTCAGCGTCCATTCGCTGACAATCATTGTCTGAAGGACCTCGACAGCCATTCGTCGCAGACCCTCGTGCACACTCAAGCAGAGTTCCACGATGGGTCCAACAAGCGTTGGGACATATTGCACTTGATAGCCACCCATCTTTGTCAGGCCATACCGTTGTCGCTCATCAGTGCTGGTCTCCCATCCGATGGCCTCCCACGTCCGCCTGAGGAGCTCCGCACCATGCTCCCTGACATCGCCAGCGATCTTCCATACAGCTCTCCGCTTCTGCTCCGGGAAGGTCTCAAGCGCAAGTGAGGGGCTTCCGACAAGTTTCAGCATGGTCGTAAAGAACATTTTCCAGAGTTCGGTGTTGAAATTCTCTGCCTCGTCCGGATGCGGAAGGAAGGACTCAAGCAGTATCCCCGATAGATACTGGAGCGTTCTCATGGTGGATTTGTGATGGAATATATGTACACTGAGCCATTTGGACGGGAAAGCTTCGCCCTGTAGGATGCTCATGTGGACACGCAGAGTGTTTGCAATGACATCTTCAAGGTCGTCTTCGGCTAGTTCAAGCTGCATGCCGCTGGGCGAATTAGAAAGCGCTGATAAAACAGCCGACAGCTCGACGAGAGCCTCGTCGAAGTTGACTTCGTCAACCGTCGGTTTGGAAGGGAAGGGATAAGTTGTAGGGAATAGTAGCGAGAGGCGACGCCGGGGGGGCTGAGGCGCGGACTGAATAACAAGATAAGAATCAATGATCTTCGGAATGTGATCGGGTATCTCAGGGCCAAGGTGCTCGACCTGGCTTGCTAACACGGAGCAGCAGAGTCGGATTTGCTCCCTCCACTGCTCGGTTACCTCCTCCGTTCGTCCCCAGTGCGGCGCGATCCATCTGACGGTGTTTGCGCTCAGAGCAGACCGCTGCTCGGGGTGGGAGAAGATGTCTAATTTCGAGTAGTTGATGATCAAAACAAGTTTGTAAAGCACAAGCTTGCCTTTGACCAATGAACACGAATCCATGAAGTCAATAGCGATATGTAATATTTCTTCTGTCGTGAGCAGCCCGGCTAGTTCTGGTAGCCATGTATGGAAGTGCTGGACAGCCAATGTTTGGCTTCCAACCAAGACCGGCGCTGTGCTACGCATCATAGCATCCAGCGCCTTAAAGATGCTTCTAAGATGCCTTGTGAAGCCGGGAGTGTTCCCGGTGAGGCCAATGCCAGCCTCTTTTGCCTTCTGTTGGCCGCGAGCATGTGTAATAAATTTGAGAATATGACGAACGACCTTAAAGGTAGCTCTGAGCTTTCTAGCAGTTTCTGGATCAGATGGGTTTGATAGTAGCCGTGTAAATGATCTAACCAGGCATGGTGTAGCAAAAGGATAATTGAACTTGTTCTCGGCGTATTGATCCACCAAAGGAGCGATGTTGAATCGTCGATCATGCGTAATGTCCAGGACTCGTACCAATGCGGTGAATACAAGGTCCTCATACTCGTCGTTACCGGCATACTCGACCAAGATCCCAAATAGGGCGTCTAGGACATCACTCAAGAGTTTCACAACCTCGATCTCAGCCACGAAGATAAGTTGCTGTAAGAGATTCGGAATCTCTTCACGAGGGCAGTCTTTCCATTTCAAGAGCGAAAGAACAACTCTGTCCTGTGAGAATCTGGTGCTGCAAAGATACGTGTCGAGGCGAAGCGTCGCCAAAGGGCCAGTAACCTCTGCCGAATGCTCGCCACGGCGTGCGTTCCACGGCAATGCTAGGTAGCCACCTTTGCCCATAGGTCCAGGCTGGGCAGTCGCTGTGTACTCATCTACTCGGTAGAGAAGTAAGCCATGGGGTCCATCCCTCACAAATGCCTGGTGGTCCCACAAAGGCAGATGCGCTATGGCGAAAGGGGGATTCGGCATGTCTGCAACAAAGAACACCACATGCGATGTGAATACATCTTGCGGCGCCAATAGTAGCCGGAGCGTTTGTCTCCAAGGATCTCCTCGCTCGGTGGCAACAGATCTCCATGTGCTCAAACCCTCAGAGTTCGAGGAGGGATATATGCAGTTGTCTATTCGCTCGCCAGAAGACCTCCTCACCTCCATCGTCACTTGCAAATTGGTACCATGAACAGTAGTTGGCATCGCTGTTGCGCTGCCGCCGAATCTAGAAAGCAGTGTTTGTCGTGAGAACACAGCTTCGTCAAGGGTGACATAAATGTCCGACCGAGCTTTAGTCGGTGCCCCGGAGAAGCCCATCTTATTAGTCTTGGTGATGCCAGCGAGTAAGGTTGGTGTCGCCTTAATCAAAGCATCTGCATCAGGGTCGTTGAATGCCTTCAAATGCACCTGCAGTCGCTCTCCGTTCCTAGACTTCTCGTATTGTCCGGATTTACTCTCCATCAATTCGCGAATAAGGGGATCCCATTCCTCGCCGTTTTCTTGCTTTTCGGCAACGAATCTAGCGGAGGGCGTCCAAATGCTGACTACATGCTCAACCTCTTCATCCTGCTTCATGATGGCATTCAATTTCAGAACTCCGACGCCAACAGTCCGCTCAGCAGTCATGTTCGTCGTGCCATCGTGAGAAAGTCGTGGAGCCTTGGATCCACCGGTACTTGGCGGTATTCCTTCCCTACTCTCAAGAGCACCAGTAGTCGGTGGTCTCTCCTCAGCCTGTTCATCTAGCTTGGCCATTGGAGCACCTCTCGAAAAGGCAGATCGGGTGCTCTTCTGCGCCCACATTAGGCTCCTGCGCATAGACTTGTTCCCACTAGACAGTGGCGGCTTCGCTGTGTCTTTCGAGTAAGATGTTGTCTGGTTTATTGAGCCAGCTCTCGAACTTGGCTTGCCCACGATTATTTGTTGTGATGTTCGGATCCTAACCACCAAGAAAAGCTCTGACTCGGCGGAAGGAACGCTGCCAATATCCGATGGCGAAAGGTCGGAGAACAAAGTTCGCATTTGCGCTTGAAGATGCTTGCTCACATGGCCCATCATGCCTCCAGCTGGTATCTCGATAATGAAGGTTTCGGACAGCGATATCAGGGAGCCGCCCGGGGCCTTGCTGACCAGGTGAAGGGTCAAGGTCGTGGCTTCGCTCGATGCTCCTGCGAACCCCTTGACGTCCACAAGCAGGTGGTGCAGAGCAGAGAGCTCGATTGTGGGGTGCGGCGGCTCGTCTAGCAGACTCATCACAGATTGTAGCTTGGTTATCTCCACAACGGAATCGTCTCCAGTGAGGACTCGGCCTTGCTCGAGGGGGTCGCGAACAATGACCTCTCCTCCGCATAGTTTGTTGACGCGCACCAGATCCCAGACAGTCTTCTCGCGTAGATTCTTGTACTCCCATGTCGTCAACACGTTATGCAGGAATTGTTGTCGGGCAAAGTTCAGCGAGGTGATCAGCTGCGATAGCTTGTCGAGTTTCGCATACTCTCGCGATAGCAGCAGTTCGTGAAGGTTCGTAGAGTGCCACTCGCGCAGACATGAGGCAATCTCGTCGATCAATGGTTCGGAGGCAGAGGTAGGGGTCTCGTCTCCAATCTTGAGCATCGGCAGGGGAGCTCGCGGTCGTGGCGCATTGGGGTCGCGCTTCCAAGGCACGGAGAGCCGGCCATGTGTGCCGTTGGGGAGGTCCTTGGTTGGTTTCTTGCCACCCTTGCCGTCACTGATGGGACTTATCACCACCTCGGGGCCTTTAGACTTCTCTTTCCTCCTCCTTGCCTTGCCCTCGCCCGTCAGTCCGCCCTTGGCAGAGTCGCTGCCCACTCGTTGTATGCCAACCTCCTCCTTGAGGACTTCTATACCGTCCTCGCTGTCCTCATTGTCGTCTGTCTCGTCAGACTCACCCAATACTTCCCGGACCTCGACACAGCTGCGAGGGAATATGCCATTATAAACGCGTGCCTGCAGAGTCTCGCCTTTGACGGAAGTCAAGCCCGCAAGCAGGGACGGGGGTGCCACAAGATATCCACGCAGCCAGTTCTCGTCGGCCGTCTCCTCCACAATGTAGACTTCATCTCCAATCTCGAGGGGCAGGTCTTCGGAGCCGGTAGGTTGGAAAGGGTACGTCGCTACGGCGAAGGCGATTCGGGGCAGTGGTTGCCAGGGCATCTTGGGCGGAGGCGCATCTACTGGTTCCCCCAAATGACTATTGAAACCTCCCTCGGCCTTCGTGAAGGCGGGTTGAGGAAACTTCCGCCTCGGCTCGCCCCCAGCAGCTCCCGTTGTCTGGCCAAAAGGGTGGCTCGCAAATCGCTCAGGTCGTTATCGCTTTGTGGCTAGCACAGAAGGCATGAATGAGGTCAGACAAAGTTCCGCCTGTCAATCGGATAGTCGCAGAGCAGAACGTGCTGCTGTGGTTTGTGGTATCTAATTTTGTGAGATGCGAAAAAATCGGGACTCTCACTGTCACAAAAGAGGCAGGGAGGCTGACCCCAGGCCAGGCACAGACGTACTGTAGTAGGCGTAGATTGGATATCCGATAAGAAACCCCTGAGCAAACGCAGGCACAATCTGACGGCGCCTGAGCCTCTTTGTGGAGGTCAAGTAAGCTTGGCTTGGTGGCAATGGCAGTTGCAATGGAACCCCGGAAAAGAATGTGATATCAATGGCTGCTATTGCCAGAACAATGTTAAAGCGCTGTAGTCAAAAAGATGGTGAATCGAAGACAAGGTTCCACTGCAATGCCTGTTCCTGTTCGAAGCCAACCCCAAATCAGACGAGGGCGTGTTCTTTTCGCGATGTGACCGAAATGCTGCTGCTGCTGTTGCTGGGTGCTGCTGATCTGTCGGGCAAATAAAAGAACAGCGGCCCCTGGACTGGGACCGCAATAAGAAGCGAGCCCACCGTCTAACGTCCCTTGGGGTGTAGCGCCGTGCCCGTGTGCCCGTGCCCGCGTGTGGAGAAGCAAACGGTAATAGCCAACGTGAACTAACTGACGGTGAGCTGCACAGCAACGGTGGAAATGCTATTTGGACGAGCTTCAACGACTATTACAAAAGACTCAGGTTTTGATTGACGTCTATAAAACAGAGAGCAGCTTGATTGAGGGTCCCGGGAGAGCTGTCTGACTGTCTGGCTGCCTTTCCGCAATGTCTCAGACCTTTTTTTGCGCCTGCCCGCCTTTCTTTTTTCTCCTCCCCCTCGTGGTGGTTCGTTGTGCCCTGCCGTCCCCAGCCACGGTGTGCTCTGGTTGGTCCGACAAGGTGCTTCGTCTGTGCAGGTGCTGGGAATACCATCATGTCCGTCCTTGAACCAGAAAGCCACCACGTTCGCCGCCAGGTTGGCCACAGATTCCTCAACGCTACGCTACAGCTGCAGCCGGGTACACGGCATATCAAGGATTGTGGGATGCCAGAAAAGCGAGTGCCACATCTCTGGGCCATCAATTGGCTGCCCTAATCACAAAAAATCGGCATGGATGGGCAGTCAAATGCGACTTGTTCTGGTCAGCATTGCGCTCGGATGCTGATGTCGTCTAAGATGCAGGGAGACACATGAAAAGGGGGGCCATACTACGGTACCCTCCGGTTATATGTTCGACGCCTGCCCTCTCTTGTGTGCTCCAAACATTCGACTGCCGACTGCAATGAGAAGACGAGCTTCTTGCTGCTGTTGCATTGCTTTATCTGATGAGAGCGCCGTGATACTGCAAGGCGTGCCATACAGTGCATGTGTCTCCAGCCGCGTGGTTCTCCCTGATTACTTTCCCATATGGCGGGATGTTGGCGTCGGCGATCCCACGCCCGACCCCTCCATCACTCGATCCCACATCACATCCAATCTTGCCTTGCGCACACTGCATAGCAATGCTTCCAGGGTACAGTAAGCCGTGGTGTGCGCAAGTATCGACGTTGAATCCAGGTTTCCATCAGACATATCATCGCCTCTTATGGCGTTCAATTCATCTCTCGGGCATGCCTTTTTCATGCCGATGGCAATCAAGTTGATGCGCCGCGCTTGGGAATCCGTGGTGGATTTCATGTGGTGCGTGTCAGCATGGCGATCATGTCCGTTTTGGGCTACACCATGGATGGCTGCCCCTTTTTCGATCAACTGCCATCCTATCAGCTGCCCTCGCTGCACGAAGTCTTGCAGGCAGGCGTAGCTTAGTCAATGTGATAACCACGAGCTACCAACACTGCATGGCTAATAACATTCCTGTAGCAGACTGCTACAAGAGAACATGCTCAATCGAGGGTCGATAGCCTGTTGTTTCTTGGAACTTCGAGTCGAGACACATCTTGGCATTTTTAACAAATCATCCCGATCAGAAAGAGGCTTATTAACGGTCTCATCGAAGGTAATCGCTCGAAGCTTCAAATCAAACTAAACTCAGAAACATTATCTTTCAATTAGACTATGACGATATAGATAGATTGTTTGTTGCCAACACCTCATAGTGTAGGTGCGCCTACTCAACGTTCAAGTGCAAGCTCAGCCCAAGGACAGATTCGACTCATATCGTTTTATATATTGGGGGTGTTTAAGTTCATTCTATAAGCAAGCAATTGATAATTATTTTTGCATTCATGCTGGATGTTTTGGGCCTCCATCTGGCATTTCGGATTCCGAACTTTGTCGGCGTTAGCCTACATCTTGGACGAAATTTCTCTCCTGTCGACAGTCGATGCAGAATGAGATACCCTATACACTAGAACTAACTAGCTCCTGACTGTGACATTAGTGCAGCTGGTGTTATTCGTAGCTACCATGGTCGATGACTTTGTCGTCCGCTTTCTTGTACATTAGGCTCGATTGTACGTGGACTGATAGGCGGTAAATCCTATCGTATATTTCATTCGTCGAGCTCAGATCTGCCCTTGCAATCAAAGCAAGCAGGCCTAAACCCAAAAGCATGAACAGATGTTCCAGATGTAGACCATAGAGCTCCGGGTGGGCGTAATACGCTATTTTCGTAGGAATTATTAAGAACAACCCCAGTGATAGCTTAAACAAGATGTTGTGTCGATGCTCGTAACAAATTTCTAGCATGGAGAACAGTAAATCTTATTTTGAAGACAAGCAGACCCGAGATTTAATCGACAGGCTCTGGGCCGGTGACTCTCAAAAAACGACCATCAGAGGGAACATTAGCCATGAGGCCTACATAAACTTCTACCAAAGACAATGGCATCTGATAGCAGGACACAATGCAGGCCAGCACGTTGCTTTGAGAGATCCTCAGGTCCTGAATACTTTCATCGAGCATTTATCTACATCAGGACATGAAACAAGGGAAGAGATGCTTGTTGATATCAGGAGACTGGCCGTAGATGTTGCGACTCCAGAAGCCTGTGACAACACTCTAATCTAGCCTTGAGTCTTTTACTGATGCTTAAATTTGGGACTGTGAACGGCGAGGCAGCACCGAGGAGATACTTGAACTGGACCGGCGGCTCTCTGCAGGTATTCATTGAGGGCTATTTCAGTCAACAACCTAATCTAAGGATTGATCGGGGCAGACTCTCTGTATCATTCAACGCATGGAGTCTGCAGGAGATTGGAGGCATTCAACTTCAGTTCACGGATAATTTTTCGGACCACTTATTGTTAGTGGAAGACGATACCAAAGTCCTGATATTCCATCACACTACCTTCCTAAAGTGGCATAGGTAATTTGATCTCAATAACACCAAATCCATCCAGATTTGCAGCTAAGCCTACATAGATCCATTCTCCCAGAGTACGTTATTTGAGAGACTCTTGAAACACTAGCTTTATTGTTTCCACAGTCAGAATTCGGAACATATGGTCGAGCTACAACCACAAATGCCAAGTGGTTCCAGCGATTGACAAAGAATGAAAATTTCTTATCAATCGACAATCAACTCGCCATGTGCGGTAACCTTCAGTCCGCAAGTAGACAGCTGGACAATTTCAGGTTTTGGAGAGATCGCTTAATTTTTTTGAAAGAAGCTTATGATGAAGCTACACCTAGGGTTCTCTCCCAGTGGTGGTACGACCGACGAAATAACGTTCAATAGTACACTTTCTGGGTAGCTATAATGGTGTTCGTTGTGACAACTACACTAGGTATTATACAATGTATTGAAGGCGGATTACAATTATCCAGAAACAGAGGATAAACTCAAGCGGCGGAGATGCAAGGAATCTCTCTTCCAGATAAAGCAAAAGATTTAAGAAATGCCTTGGTTACAAGATTAACAAGGACAGCTTCAAGCCTGCGTTGATACAAACACCGGGGTGGACTATGCTATGTGTCGTGGACGGTGATGCACGGTTACTTGGTGAGGGACCAAGCCACGACTGCTTAGATTGAAGTTTGAATACAATCAAGATTCTATTGATGGTTGCTGAAAATATATATATAAACCCTGTAGAACATCAAGAGAATTGAAGAATAACGAGGTCGAAATTTGTGAGCTTGGATTTGTCTACACTCGCCTACTATTACGCAAAATGTAGTCACCCCATCTTAAACCTAGTTTTGCACCTATAAAATACCAGATAAAACGACAAATGTTGAATTCTAGACGACAGAAGAGAAATCTTGCCCATTAATAGCATGGACAACTCGCTCTTAGGACCTGATTCTCATGTCAAGACAAGGCGTTAGGGATCTAATCAGTTTCTCAAGGACAAAGACTCCGAAGCCCAATATTGAAAATGAGTCTTCCCAAGTCATACATAAGTGTATCATTCTGTCGAGCCTCACACCTAGAAGCCAACTGCTTTCTCGACTATCCTTAGCCATAAATAACTTTACGAAAATCTGTACCGTGTCGCGCTTAAACAGTGTAACCCATAGGCTGTGCGGGAGGCTTATTGGTACTCAAGAGCGAGTTTGTACTAACTGCAGCTATGATCAGCGAACTGTCCCAGAAAGTGTAGCTCGGATCAAGCCTGACGATTCGCAGCCGGGTAGTTTCCCAGCTCTTGAAACGGCCGATTATCCACCTTCTTCTTGCGGAAGAGGATACCGAACGATAGGAGATAAATGATTAACTCAAGCGGCGTACGATTATCTGGCGTCGTCTGGCGTCCACCGTTTGTAGCTGGATAATTGCCAGACTCGTCAGGTTGCTGATGGTCGATTTTCTTGCGGAAGAGAATTCCAAACGACAGAAGATGAAGGATCTTCATTGTAAACGACCGGTTGTCCACTATCTTTGGTCCCTCGATCTCGGTCGTGCCATCCTGCGACAAGTAGATGTGATAGTCCCTAGGTAGAAAGCGGCTCGGATTCCATATGTTCCAGATGACGGAGTTGATCAGCATCAGGACTGCCTCGAAGACGTAGAAGAACCACTCGTATCGCAAAATTGGACTCAGAGTCTGGAGAGAATCGGCGTTATCGAGCTCTATGGTCGTATTGCCCAAGTGCTCCACCAGTCGATAGATGCAGCGTACCAGAATCAACATCATGCTAATGTAGAGAATGGTCAAGGGAGTCGAGACAGATCTGTTGCGTATTCTAGCTTTGCTGCACCGCCAGTGGAAGAGGCCAGCCATACACATGAAAATCACAATGACGCAGAGTTGTATGGCAACTGCAGCTATCGTCAAGTGACTTCCCAGCTCTTGTTGGGTTTTTGACGAGGATGAATTCGCGGACAATGATACGCCCAATGCGTTCAGAAGCTCAACAACGGCCATGATAGCACCGAAGGTGGAAAGCACCCTGCCAGGTGGGAGAGGCGCGAAGTAGGGTACATAATAGAAGATTCGGCCGAGGATGTGGTAGTTACAAAGTTCGAGAAGCGGTCTATAATCATGATAAGACCAGGTTAGTCGGCAGCCACAAGCTTGATATCTTTTCAAAGGGTCACTCACGGACAAACATATATGAAGACCTGGCTGAGGATAAACACAATCAAGTTCGTTGTAGAGTCGTAGTAGTAATTGTACGCTCCGTATTCTCGCATCGCATAACCAGCAGTGAATAGCAGTGCACAGAGGGGATGCAGACCGATCAGCTTCCAGGATCTATAGTGACTGTTCGGGCGCGTGAGTGATCGAGTATTGGCATCATGAGCGTCAGGTCTATACATACAAGCATTGCCAGATATGGCCGACTGCCGATATGCCGTAAAGGGCAGCGAAGACAACGGGCGCTATCTTGTTAGGAGCGTAGACGAATAGACTACCCGGAACTGGACCGTGTTAACATCGCTATTCCGATGTGGATAGTAGGGAAGTCCTACCAACTTGACCCTCCCCCATCTTGAGCAAATATAAAGTTATAAAGCGGAATGCGCAAGCGTTTCTGGTTCAGTTGATAGAATGACTTCAGGATTCTGGGAGCAAAGTATTTGATCGATGCGGTTGTGTGGCGCTGGAGAATTGTCAAGATAGTAGTAGACTTCTGCACGCGATACAACGCCCTCTATATATTTACCGTCTCAGGGGCATCGGGTTGCTTGAGGCTCGGCCCACAAATAGAAAGAAGATGCTTGCTAAGAACTAAGCCCTGTTGCTTCTGGCTAGTTCCGACTTGAGTATCGACTCTTGTTACGTCAATGGCGAGAACACACAATCTAGAAGGCCCTAATTCAGAAGTTGAAGGCTGCGGGTGATGGTGTTGCGTAAGTTCCAAGAACTCGACCCCCGGCGGAATAGAAGCATCTTGTGCCTTATTGTCTCGGGCCCTGTGGAGCCTGGAACCAGAGATACCAGTCAAACATGTCATTCTAGACTCGGTGCATCGCCAATCTTAGGGACGAGAACAGGGGCTTGACTCTGACCCATGCCTTATTGCGTCGACAAGCAACAGCAAACTACCGTATTAGTGCGGTAGACACGCGTGTTACGACGCCAACTATCCGCTAGCAAGGCTTTAAATTTAGCGCCCCTGACTTTGACAGCTCAATGGTCGATCCGGCCGAACACGCGTGTTACCTAAGCAGGATTCAGTGCTAAAGTGGCCCGGACCCAGACACCCGGACCGGCCGATTAAGCATCAATTCCGACAACACACCTGTCAAATGCTTTCTGCGTTGAAATATAATATGGGCCAGGCAGCCGCACAGCTTTCGTGGAGAGGCCCAAGACGTTATAATTCACCACTCACAAGATAGCAGTTTTCGACTCCCGGAGATGGCAGTCATGCCAGGTCCCCCTTATTTCCAACGCCAAGACCGGTTTTATACAATATTTCTGGAGACGATAGCTTGACCATTGTTTATATCTACAGTTAAGGCGAATTGTGTTCAATGTGAACAAAGTTTTAAGCAACCAAATCAATCTCATGTTGTTCATTCAGACTACAACTTGACCTCGAGTGAATTCTTTAACAGGGATACTTTACTCTCAAAACTCAACAAGGCCAGACTTCGATTGCAGAACCAATGTTTTTCAATTTTCCAGTTTGTCGTGGCTTCTCTTCCTTTCAGACGGTATCAAGCCTTTTTCCGAGGTCGATGGAAAGTATTTGCATGATGAACTGGTATAAAGATTGCACCACATTTAGATCGACAACGACAACGGTTTTCGAAGAGCTAGTCCGAGAAGTAGAGGATCGTCAAGTCAGCCCCTCAACAGATAAAAAGTCAATATTTAAACTACCGAAGGGTGTGGTACGCAAATTTACTCGCTCTGCATTATTCTCCTAATATCGCCAGATTTCCAGCATATGCGTTTCCATCAGTCAGAAAGATTACTTCATCGCTCTAGACTCGCTTCATCAATTCCAGAAGAAGTCAAAGGTTCAGGTTGCCTAAACCTTCTCGAAAATATCTTTATATATATATATATATATATATTAGATTGGAGTCTCAATGGTTTCTCGGCCGCAGTTATTTACCAAAGTCACATACACTTTTAATCGACAAGGCCAGTTGCTCCTGAGCGACTTGATAAATTGTACGCATATTCGGTCGACATCGTACTTGACAATCAACAAGTACTTCCGGGTGACCATCCAAAGCATTTTAAAACGTTACTACTCACTTGGTTAGGGCTACCGATGACCATGCAAACGTCATTGACTTCGACCAGGCGATATAGATCAACTCTGCAATCTTTGTATCACAGCTTCATCCAGATTCCTTACTTGCGAATTTTCCAGGCAAACCAACTTTTCACCAATATCATCTCTCAGCATTATGCCGGGTCTCACAGATAGAGACATATTCCATTCGCTGCATTTCCATCAAAGAGGAATACCTTGAGATTGAAATGGGGCTAGAAAGCCTCAAATAACGTTTCAGGTGGGATGCCGCCACCCGGAAATGTGCCGTCCCAACCTCCTTTACGGCGTCCAGCTACTGGTGAAACCCCTCCTCTCGAGATTCTGAACCAGTCATTTTCAAGCATAGGACCTGCAACCTGCTTGAATAATCAACCAGTTCCCTACAGTAGCCGACAATTTTCACACGCCCATTGGCTGGGCCACCTCATCACGCAGATGGCGGTATGCTCGTCTCGATGTTCTCCCAATCAAATCAGAGTAAACCCAATGGAGGTGGTCACGTTCAGACCATGCTAGGTGTTGAAGATAGCTGATGAGGCTCAAGTGATAACCCCTCATTCCAAGGCCTGGGAAGTGGGCTGTGAAGAAGAGATCGGGGTGCCGCCGGGCTCTGTGTGATGGTAGTAACGCGAGCCTCGACTTATCTCACCATCGTTTGTTAGTTCTTGTGCAACGTAGAAGCCCACAGATAAGATCCCTCCAGCAAGATTCCTGCTGCTGCAAGTCCGCACAGCACTCCGCCTTCCCCACATCGAGAACAGCGAAAAACTGCCCAGTTTGATCTGATGAATCGCAGATTGTGAATTCAGAAGCAGCTTATCACGTTGCCTTGCAACTATGATTTACGACAGCATTTCCGCCTATCGCTTGTTGCAAAGGGATTTGGAGAACCATCTGAAAAGAGAGGTGTTCAGGGATTACACCGAGAGGGACCAAATAGAAGTTACGGTGTGTCGGTCACGCGATGCTTCATAAATAGCGAGGCAGAATCCTCGAGGCTGACTCGCCGACAGAGACAAGAAAATCAATACAGCCTTAAGCTCCCTCGAGAACTGAACCAGGTAAGCTACCCCGTTCATGCGCTGAGAAGGAAATGTGATATCTCCGTGGTATGAAGCTAAATGTCTCTGAAATCGAAGAAGGAACGCCTTTACATTGAGAGCTATGTGCGATACGATGTGGATGACGGTGGCTATGATTAAACGCCGTGAAGCAGAAAGCTTAGGATCCCATCCTTCACTATTCGCCAGAATAAACAGTAGGGTACACACAAGCAGCAATCTTACGCACAGAGGCGCAGTCGCTTCATTGTGTCGAAGGGTGCCGACAGCGTTGGGTCGGGCATGTGCAGAGAAAGGAGTGTAATTTGCAATTTGAGGAATTCCCATTGAGACTTTGGGTGTTTTTAGGCTTATATATACGACAGGGTCGAATTAGTTACCATATTGTTTAAGTACTACATTTCATGAATCCAATTACTTCTAGAATACGTATCATGACTTGGATGGTCGAGGTCCATTGATTCGTGAAGGTGTCACCACGCAGCTGCGCCCCTCTTCGACAGCTGTACAGCCCCCAAGCCACAATTTGGGTTTGTAGCCAGCCGCAAGGGGTCTGAAGCAGGGCCGATGACAGGAGACAAGGCTTTTTCTGAGGTCTCCAAGGCACTCTTAGGCACTCTTAGAAGTCTTACCTATTCAAAGGCTTGCTTCTCCTTCGGTGTAAATCATTTGTTCTCGGTGTTTCTCCACATTCATTCGCTCACCTGCAGGGCGCCCGAGGTAAAACTGCACAAACCCGCCCTGCTCTCAGAATTGAGCCGCTCGTCCAGATCACCAGATTTTCTTATGTGTAGGGCCACGCAATGATAAACAAGAGACTCCACCTATCTTATTTGCTGTCGCCAAGACATATTGCCGTCTAATTGATGCTTTCGTCCAAGTTCGCGACGATTTCTGATCGCGACGCTCTACTCAAGGCCACAGCAAGATGACACGATGTCAAGAATACTCATTGCGGTTCTTGGAGTCATGTCACAGACCGGATACATATCCCGAGAATGTGCTTCGCACGCAGAAGTTCGAACACACTCTTAAAACTTATAATGACCGGCTCCTTGAGGTCGGCAGATTCTGGGAACCTAGCGAAAAGCGGCCCATTGCAATATGGGATTTAATCCAGAATGAGAATGGTCTGTGTCCCACTTCATGTATGAGATGAAATCCTATTCACACCATTTTGAGAGAATAGAGTTCCGATCGCCTGTGAATATCAAGTCAGATGATCTGGTTCAGCTTCAGCAGACTATAACCAGCCAGGCAGAAGATGCTCAATGCAGATTCATGTGAGCCCTCTATCACATGTCGTACCAGATGCCGGATTGGTCTTGAATTTCTGACACACTGTCACAGCTTTCTCCAGACAACCAATTCTCGTGGACCACTATGTTGCA